TTCACTCTGTCTTCTGTACCTCCGCTTGAGCTTTTCATTGAAGTTCTTGAAGACTGAAAATGTCATCTTGCCAAGTGCTGGTTTCCCTCTTAGCAGATAAACCCTCTCCCAAACTTCTTCATTGTTACATAACTAAAAAAAAATATTTTCCAGATATATTTTGTGATTTACATTTCATTAGGCCATACCTGATCTCCTGAATATACCCCATTTGCATATCCCATCTACAATTACGTAAATACTATCATTACTGTCACATAAGTATTACAGTATTTTGATTCAAATTGACACAAACACATAAGACATTGGGCTGCAGTGTTCTTTGCGCAATTCCAATTAACAGCCTGGATTATTTAAAAAAAAAATCTCCAACACACTCCAAAAAGGTAAAGATTAGCAAAAATGGCACATAGACTCATGGTCCATGCAAGATCCATAAATGGCTCCCAGCACATGCAGAAGGGAGGAGACACAAAACAGGCAGAAATAGGTGATTCTTTTCCCCCTTCTCTTTAAAAATGTTGATATAGTCTAGAATCAAATCTGAAGATTTTGCATAGAAGTTTAGAGGGGCTGGGTCTTTTAGGGTATTGGTGTTTTAGTTTTTTTTCTTTTGCCAGGATCTCAGTTGCCAACTCTAGTGAACAGATTGAAAAGTAATTCTGAAAGGCTGCAGCTGGCCAGACAGGGGGGTTGGTTTTGATTGCCCACAGCATGGAGGACATGGCCTGTTTCTACTGATCTGTGCCCAGGTATGTGTGTGTTGTGCTGCTCCCTGTATCTGGCTGTGCAGAAACACAGACAGTCCTGCTGGATGAAACTGAAGGGAAGTTCCACCTCACCTTGTTTCTTAACAATAAACTTGAGTATGGGCACCAATGCATGACATTACCTGCTGGAAGTTCTTGCACAGTTTTGACAGCTGTTGAAGGTCATCAGCATCCAGAAACAGAAGTATGTGTACAGTCATGTTCTCAGGCATTCAGTCAAGAAAATCAGGATATTGAAATGGAAGCACTTTCAGGGCTGAATAGGCTCAGTCTTGTTTCCTTAATATTTTACAACATCCTGAAATACAAAGATTAGTTGCACGTATATTTGAAACTTTTAAGTTTCTAAATTAAGGATAAAATAAGAAGGAGGAAAACATTTGGGAATATGTTACATAAGGTAAAAATATATTCAGGGGTATTTAGATTTATTTCCAAGAACTGAGCTCTCCATAGCTACAGTGTTAGGTAACATTCGTTGCCCTATTTGTAACAGTTACTAATGCATAATAAGAAAAAGGCCATTTCAGAAAGTAATTTAGGGGCCTAAGGGAAGGAATTGAATGAAAAAATAGCTGTCTTGGATGATTGAACTCCATGCCTTCAACAGCCTGCTGGCATTTTTACTGAGAGACTTCGTAAGTGAATATGGTAATTTTTTACAGGTTGCTTATATTAAAAAAAAAAAAAAAATAGAACTGCAAACTATATTCAAGTGTTTTTACAATAATATTAACTGAAAGGGTTAATATGAACCCTTATGAACCCAGACTTATGAAACTTTAGCATGATTTCATAAATCAAATTTAATCCCTGGATGTAAATGAAAAAAGTTCTAAACAAGTTAGAAAAGAAAGTTTAACCATACAGTAAAAAAGTCTATTAAAAAAAAAAAAAGTTATTCATTGCAGTTGCTTGAGATGTATTCTTTACCTATGCTCTGTAATTGCTAATCCAGCAAAAAATCTCTGTGGGATTTCTTTACTCCTTTGAGAAAACTTCTTCACTAGGTTGAAAGGCAATCCTCCAAGTACTCAAAATCACTTACAGGTAACAATAGCATGGAAAAAGTTTACTTAGTCTGACTAAGAAGAAACCTAATAAATGGGGTACACCTGGTTTATCTGGAATTTAATTAAGTGTTTGATTCCATTCTCAATGGAAATTATCCTATTACCTACAGTAGCTGGAAATTAATTTTAAAACTATAAGATGAGTGAAAGCACTGGCAAATCAGAAAGAGATGAAAAGCTCAGGATCAAGTGAAAACAACAGGTTATTAGCTGGCCTTGGGTTGACTTTACAGCTATTTCCATGAATGAGCAAAGCAGGAGTCAGCATTTTGAGTAATAAAAAACAGATAAAATGCAACTAAAAGGGGGATGAGTAGCAATAATGTTCTTAGCTGAAAACTTGGATGGAAACAACCAGTTGGTTTTTGTTAGTAATATGGGAAAACCATAATCCCCAATGATGAATGTATAACCTGTAGTCAAAGAGATATGAGCCTGGGACATGACTACACAGAAGACCAGGAGGGTATCTAGCCTGCAGTGCTAGGTTTCTCCATGACATCTAGATGGGGAAAAAAGAAATAAATTCCTCATCAATCAGTAATTGTAGTTAATCACTACACTTCTGCTACATTTTCAGAGCATGGGCAGGATTGATTTTGTTGGAAACTTAGACTGGCAAAAAATACTGCTTCTATCCAAGCAGCCAGGGGATGTGACAGATCACTGTTAAATGCTGCCTGTCACAGAGACCGCCCTCTTGGTAAGGAAATCCTGCCGAATGCCCAGCCTGAACCTTCTCTGGGGGAGCTCTGAGCCATTCCTACCTATCCTCTCAGTGGGTACCAGGGAGAAAAGCTTAACATCTTTCCCTCAGCTTCCCTCCTCTTAAGAGACAAGGACTCAAAACATTCCTCAGTCATGGATGTGCGAGGGTTTTTGGTTGAGATGGAGTAGGTGAACTTTTAGTTGTGTAATGGCTAAACCTCTGATCTGATAAGGCACAGGATGAATGATGGGCTGTGAGTGAGATAAGAGCTGGATCCCCAGCTGGACAGGATTGTGCTCCGTGTCATGCTAAGCTGTGCTTCCTTGCACAAACCACTGGGATGTGGGGCTCCCTCTCCTCTCCCTGGGAAATGCAGGGAACTCTGAGATGAGCAGTGTCCCTGAGCAGGTTCATCTCTGCTGAGGGGACACAAAGAGACACAACTGACTCAACTGTGCTGCGAGCATGGGCAGCTGTGCTGTCTTAGAAGGTGTCGAGGACTCCCAAAGTGTCCCATGATCTACAGTACTACATGAAGCTCCCTGCTCCTAAGGAGGCACCTGATTTATATTTATCTGAACCAGAGTGAATATAAACCCAAGAGATTCTGTGTTCCGCCGATTCCTCCCCACCACTTCTTCGGGACTTCCCTCATCACTCGACCAGCACTTCAACCAAGACTGTACAGCAATCAAGTCTTGTTGTAAGGCTTAGGGTGCTGAGATCCTCACACTCCTGTTTTTCCTTTCTCCTTTCCTTTCCTTTCCTTTCCTTTCCTTTCCTTTCCTTTCCTTTCCTTTCCTTTCCTTTCCTTTCCTTTCCTTTCCTTTCCTTTCCTTTCCTTTCCTTTCCTTTCCTTTCCTTTCCTTTCCTTTCCTTTCCTTTCCTTTCCTTTCCTTTCCTTTCCTTTCCTTCCCTTCCCTTCCCTTCCCTTCCCTTCCCTTCCCTTCCCTTCCCTTCCCTTCCCTTCCCTTCCCTTTTCCTTGAAATTTCCTTTCCTTTGAAATTTCCTTTCCTTTCCTTGAAATTTCATTTCCTTTCCTTGAAATTTCCTTTCACTTTCCTTTCCTTGAAATTTCCTTGAAATTCCCTTTTCTCCTTGTCTGTGTCCTTGGGCAATGTTGCACTTTCACATTGCAATGCTTTCATGTTGTTTTACTATAGATAATAACCACCAAAACAGCTCCATACCTGTTTTCCTTTGCAACTAAGTTGTTCTATAATAAACCCTACATTGCTGATTTATAAAAACCGATCATTCACACTAACGTGCCCCGAGGGATCTAGTAACAAGAACCTCGGTTATCCCCACCTTCTGTCCTAACAAAATGCCCCTCAGCCTCCAGAGAGTCTTTCCTTAACCACTTCCAGGGAGTAACCCTCCCTGGAGCTGTTTAAGGAAAAACTGGACACAATACCCAGTGCTCTGCTCTGGTTGACATGGGGGTGCTCACTCACAGGCTGGAGTGGATTTCAGAGGTCTTTTCCAACTTAATTGGTTCTGTGTTTTAGTGAGTCTGTCATTCCTTCCATACTGGACAAAAAGCCCTGCTAAACCCAAAAGTCAAAAAGCAATTCCTGAATTGAGGGGTCCAGAACTGGACACACAGTACCTGAGGTGTGGCCTCATTGCACTGGTGAGCCTACACCAAGAATCTGCTTACATTTCTGGGCCCCTCAATTCAGGAAAGATATAAGGGACAGATCCAGAGAAGAGCAATAGAGTGCGTGTTCTATAGGGAGCGGCTGAGGGAGCTGGGGTTGCTCAGCCTGGAGAGCAGGAGGCTCAGGGGAGACCTTACCATTCGCTATAATCACCTGAAAGGAGGTTGGAGCAGCTTGGGGTCAGGCTCTTCTCCCCCGCAGCCAGCCACGGGATGAGAGGACACAGTCTTAAACGGCATCAAGAGATTTTTAGGCTGGATATCAGGGAGAATTTCTTGACTCAGAGGGTGATTGGTTATTGGAATGGGCTGCCCAGGGAGGTGGTGGAGTCACCGTCCCTGGAGGTATTTAAGGAAAACTGGACATGGCACCGAGAGCCATGGTCTTGTTGATACAGTGGTGTTTGGTCATAGTCGAGGATCTCAGAGTTCTTTTGCAGCCTACTTTGTGACTTTGTGACTCTGTTTCTGGCATTCTGGAATTCTCTCCGCGCTGGACAAGCCCCCTGTGGGCTCCCAGACAGGCCGGGCCCCCTGGGCGGCAGCGCCCCCTGCCGGCAGGAGCGGAGGGCGGTGCGGCCCGGCCCCGCCCCCGGCCCCGCCCCGGCCCCGCCGCCGCGGCCGCGGCACGTGACCCGGCCCCGCCTCCCGCCGCCGCCGCCGCCGCCATTGGCGGGGGGAGCCCGGCCCGGCCCCCCCGGCCCGCGCCCGCCGTCCCGGAGGTGCCGAACGGTGAGTGCGGGCGGCCCGTCCCGCTCGCCCTCCGCTCCCGCCGGCCGGGCCCGGCGCGCTCCCCTCCCTCCCCCTGGGCATCGGGCCTGGGCCTTCCCCTTGTCCAGCCCCCGCCGCGCGGGGGGCGGCGGCGGCTGCCGGTGCCGGCGCGGGGGGAACAAAACCGGCGGGGCCGCGCACGGGAGGGAAGAGGGAGAGGGGAGGCGGCGAGAGAAAGCGCTTGGAGGGGCGGGATGAATGGGCGGGCGGCGTGGCCCCCGGCCCCGGGGGTGCGGCCCCCGGGAGGGCCGGGCAGCGGGGAGCCGGCGGCCCCGGGAAAGCCGAGCCCGCAGGCACCCCCTTCCCGCAGGAAAGTTAAAGTGATGCCGGCGGAGCCAGGAGCGGGAGGAGCACGCTGCCGGTCTGCTGTCCTGGGATAGCGAGTTCGGCACGGGACGTGTCCCCACCGGGACCGGGCCCTTCCCCGGTGACAGAAATAGCTGCCGGGAGCGGCTGCGTCGCACGTGGGAGCAGAGAAGCAGGTGCAGAAGCCAGGCTCAGTACAGCTCTGGAGAGCGTGTCCTGTGAGGAGCGGCTCAGGGAGCTGGGGTGTTCAGCCTGGAGAGGAGGAGGCTCGCGGGACCTTATCGCTCTCTGCAACCACGGGAAAGGAGGGTACAGCCAGGTGGGGATCGGCCTCTCCTCCCAGGCAGCAAGTGACAGGACGAGAGGACACAAGCTTAAATTGCACCAACGGACGTTTAGATTGGACATTAGGAAGAATTTCTTCACTGTGAAAGTGATTAGACATTGGAATGGGCTGTCCAGAGTGGTGTTGGAGTCACTGTCCCTGGAGGTGTTGAAGGATAGACTGGACGTGGTACTGAGTGCCATGGTCTGCTTGACAAGGTGGTGTTCAGTCATAGGTTGGAGCTCGATCGTCTCAGAGGTTTTTTCCAACCTCAATGATTCTATGAATTTTTTGCAAATAAGGAATATAGAAACTTTGGATTTCACATTTCTCTTCTTTAATCTTCCCTTGAACCCCATACTCTTTCAGAGTAGTGTAAATGGAATTCTTAGCATGTTACCAAGTTTCACAGCCTTAATTCGGTTCTTGACTAGATTGCAATGCTCTAGTGGCACTTCATTAGCTCAGGTACAGCACTGCAGCAATAAGGTTTTCGAGGCCATTTTTGGAAGCCAACTGGAAGTGGAATTGGAACTTGGAGTTAGGAAGCTGTAGAAGCAGTACATGGAATTAATTTCTTCAGTCTTGAATCTGTCAAAGGTACATTGATTTTACTCTGCAATTTAGACTGTTGTTAGATCTTTTATTGAGAACTAATGTTGTGTAGACTTGTCATTCTCTTAACAAAGATTGAAATATTGCAAAATTACTGCAGTTCTGGGTGCTTTGTTTTTCTTAAGTCATCTGTATGCACATCAAGTATTGTCACTTTGTAGATCTCTCCTGACTTGAACCTTTCCTGGAAACGTGGAACTTCATAATGCAGCATTTCCTGCCTGGATCTGGTGCCTCCCATGTTCTTAGTGTATCTTGCTGTTTCAGTGGCTGGGTCAGAGTGTTTGTGCCTTGTGTAGCTGTGAAGTTTTAGGGACCTTGTTCAGCAATTGTTGCTGGTGGAACTTAGCCTGAGTAGACCGGCTGGCAGCTGGGAGTTCAGATGTGAGGTTGTGGTCAGATACTGTGGACACTTGAGGACTAGCAGGAGCATAGGGCTGCCTGTCTTGTTCCTGGTGCCTTGGAAGTGATGCCCTTACCTGCCTAGTGCCTTGTAGAGTGCCTGCTCTGCCCCACTGCAGGGTGTTTGTGTGCAGCTTCCTCTGGGAGCTAAACTTCTCTTTGTCAGTCACAACACAGGGATGTAGCTTCAAGAGAAGCATCATGCTGCCACCAGACTGCCATTCATTTTTTGGCACTGCAAGAACGTGTAATTTTTCCTTTTGCTTAAACCCAGCAAAAGTCTGGATCTGTTCCTTCTAGCAGAGGCAATGATGCTGCTGTATCTCACTTACTCAGATTTCTTTTGCTGGGAGCAAATTTGCCATTGACCCTCCCCACTGACAGAGGGTTATGACTGAGCTGTTTGTCTGGAAGAAACTTCCAAGGCTGATGAAAATCACCAGTGATCATTCCTGTGCAGTGACTGGTATAGGGAATCTTATGTGTGGTTGTAGTGCATTGCAGAAAATCGTAGGGCTTTTCTTCTGGATCATTTTCCCAGCTGTGTTGGTGTCATTAAAGTATGTTGCATGTTCTCTAGCTGCTTGTGTTTCACTGGGCTCGATTGTTCATTGAGAGGAAGAGTTATAGATTTTTCTGCCACTGAGAACCAAGACAGTCTGATTTTGAACAATGATGTGGCAGACTACTTGTTGCTGTGCTTTGAATTTCTTCATGTAATGTTAAAAGAAATCTAATTTTCTGTGCTCACAGACAGTCTAGATGTTTAGCTTTGAGCCCTTCGTTGCTCCCCTCAGACAGTCACAGCTTATCTTCAGTAGAGGAAAAATGGAAGTATATATTAACTGTTGCAATGCTAAGTGTAGAATGTGTTTATTAAAAATTACCAGGAATGATTGGAAGACTTGTAGCTATGAAATTGGAATGGAGTTAAAAAGTAGAGATATCTTGTTTGCTGCCAGTCATGTTGTGCCAACACTTGAATGAATTCCTTCTTATATGTAGATATCTCCTCTGCATTTTTCCTCTTTTCTTCCACTGGGAGGTTTTTGAGAGGTTGTAGGAAGTATGGCTTAATCTTAAGTAGGATTCTTGTGGAAGATGGGATATACCATCTCTGATGTGTTGGCTGGGAAGACATCAGGAGGTCTCTCCTCTCTGTGCATTAGCTTAGGATGCTCCTATTGCTCAGTTTAACATGAACTCAGCAGAAACTTCTGATGCTGTTTGACTCCACTCTCTGGCTGCCTTGCAATACTCATAACCAATTTTTGGTTGAATTTGTGGTTATCTCGCTGCCTCTGATTTCCTGGATACTTCTTCTTTCTGCCAAATCACGACTTTAGCCTCTTGGCTGCTAAGAACACATCAAGAAAAGCAGTGATAGTTGTTCTTTTCTCAGGTGGATACATGCCCTCATTACCAATCCTTTCCCCATGCTGTTTTTCTGTTGTTCCTCTGGTGGAGATTATGGCCAGAACTGCAATGTAGGGGACAGGAACTGGTGTAAGGATCTTCAGCATCTCAGTGGAGAGAGGAGAGAGTTGGTGGTAGGAACCTCTGTATGTAGGTTCTAAACATGCCTGGAAGAAGAGGGGTTGGGAGAGGTGGCTGATGGAGCAGCAATAAGGACTGGTGGTCCCACTGCTGAGATTTGTGTCTCTTGAGGCAGCTTTAAACTGAGTGATGGACATTGATCTGTGTCACTTGAAGTCAGCTAAGAGCTGAGTTGGTACTGATGCTGTTAATGTGCTTGACATTGAGGATATAGCAAGCTTTTAGCCAGAAGCACTTACCTGTTCAGGTAGATTTCAGTGGGAAATGTCATGTCTTAGGAGGACTCTGAATGAGTCTTGGCTGCCCTTAAGTTAAAATTTAGTATTGCAAGCCCCAGAATCTTAGTTGAATCACAGTATTTTGTCTTGCAGGCAAGATGTAGATGCATAACAGGCATAAATGCTGGGCTTCAGGCTTCTGCTGCAGTTGTAGTGTGTTCTGTTTGGCTGCATGTATTTGTTTTCTCAGCGTTGCAGCCATGGAAAGTGAGAAAAGTAGGAGGGAATGTAGAAAGAGCAATTAAGGAATGTGTTGTACTTTGTAGTGTTACAGTAGCATGCAGCACAGGCTGTTATAGCCACTGCTGCACTGCACATCCTGCTACCTGAGAGCTCAAAGAGGGGAATGCTCAGGTGTCCTTTTTACAAAACAGTTATGGCCTGGCAGAATGTTCAACTAAACAAAGTGGCCTGGGGCCTGCACAGCAGTTATTTGTACTTGCAGAGGTGGCAGCTTCTTTGTCCTCCTAGGAGTATTCAAGAAGTCCTGAGAGATACTCCAGTGACCATCTGTCTTCTGCTTTGTTTAATGGAGAAGCTGATGCTCATGACAATTTGATCTTTGTCCTGAAATTCATACTTTTCCTCAAAGAGCTTCAGAGGACTAGAATGATGTTGTGATTTAGTACTTGCAGTGCACTCTGCAGTGCACATGGAGCAGCCTGACAAAATCACACCATTTATTTAATAAAACCTTTTTATGGGTTTGATTTGCAGCAGCACAGAGCCAGTTCCCTTTAATGTCTGTAATAATGCATTTACACAGAAGGAGCATGGTCCATCTCCCTCAGTGTTGCCAAAAGGATGCTGCTGAGCACAGGTTACATCACAGTTCATGCAGAACCAAGGCCATGGGAGCCTGGTTACTGAATATATGGTTTCTAGGCTGGCTGGCTCTGCTGCTGTGGGACTCTTTAGGAAAACAGTGACATGTTGTTCCTTGCACTTTCACCCAACTAGGCAAGCCAGGATCCAGTGCAGAACAAGTTGTGATGCAGGAGCTGATGGCAAAGAGCAGTGTGAAGCAGAGTCATCTGTATGAGAAACCTGAGTACAGAGGAGGACAGCAACCAAAACCATGTAGAGACAGTGGCACTGGAGCTCAGTATTGAGAAGGAATCTGGAGGGATTGACAGGAAAATCTTTCAAACTAGCTATTTAGATCTGTGCTAAGTGAACCAGCAACATCTCAGAGTTTATTCTTCCAGAAGTGTTTCAACAAATTTAAATTGACAAGATGAGTTAGTAGGGGCTCAGTGCTGTTTGTTACTGATCTCAGTAACTATTGTAAAACTAGATTTACTATTCCATGGGCTTGCAGCCTAAGGTGCTGCAATAACCAAGAGCTGTCATGCTCAGTAGGGTGCCTCAATTAAGTAGAGATTTCAGCAGAGGAGGCAGTTACTTCAGTGACTGCCAGGTACAGTGAGTTGAATTACAAAACTAAGAATGGTGAGTGATGGCAATGTGAGACAAAGTGCCCTCAGCTCTTTAATGTTATTTTTTATGCAAAAGGCTTGACTGTCAAGACTTTTGGATGTCTGGATTGTGCCTGTAACTTCTTTGGTTCCAAAATAATCTCATGGTCAAAAAAGCTTAGCATCAATGTGGACAATTTGTGGAATTTGGGAATCACTGACTTTTTCTAACTGTTGTATTTGGAAAGAAAGTGGGAATTTTCATCATAAGTAAGATAGAACTGAATAAAAGAAGAGGATGGGGAGGTGGGGTGAAGGGTATTTCAGTGAATAACAAAAACTGCAGCAACTGCAATAAGGTGACATGTGAAGAGCTGGGAAATTATGAAGAAAGTAGAAGAGATTGTCTGGTAAACTTTGTTATAAACTGTGATAAATTCAAATTAGAAAAGCCCTTTTTTGGTTTTCTGTGAAAAGAAAATGGGTAATTCAGGATTACAACCAATTTTGGAATTCACAAATTCCCTTTCAAGTCTAAAAACGTGATTACTGCAGTACGTCTTCATTATCCTAATTATGTTCTGCTGTGATTTGATTAAAAAAAAACCCAAAACCTTTTTATTTCGCTCATATCAGCAATTCAGAAATTTTTGCTTTCAAATTTAAATTTTCCTTTCCTCCCATTGTCCTGAGTCCTGCAAACAAAATATAAACTGTAGTTCATAAAGATTTGAAAGTCTTTTAGAGTACTAAGACATGATGTGCTGTGGGTTTTTACAATTGGCAAGTTATTTTCTGTTGAAGAGATACAGCCCACTGAGCACTGCTGTCATCTTTGTTTTGTTTTCATCTTTTAGAGACATAAAAAATTTGTTATAAGATGTTGGGAAGTGTTTTGGGTCAACGCTGAATGTGGTGTGGGCTCCAGTTTGGGGTGTCTTTTGTATGGCTGCCAGCAGTGCTGGGAAGCTGCAGCTTATACCCCAAAGGCCCTTCCACTTCAGTGTCTGTGGAGCAGAGTAATTACTTCTCATTTGTAGCTAGGCTGTGGTCGGATGCTGTTCATTTGCCTCATGGTTGTAAAGCAGGTTCCTTCTTAAAGCTCCATATGTGGTTCCACTGTGCTTCCCAATTGGAAATCTACCTGTTCCTGTGGCTTAATGTCATGTGTGTATGCACAGTGCACACAAAGGAGTTGTTCCATAAGCAGCTGAGCTAGTGAACCTGTATTTCTTAGGGATTTGTGCCCTCCTGCTCCTCATCCAATCCTCCTTTCCTGGTTTTTTGCTGTATCCATCTCATCCTTTAGCAGCACTGCTAATTTGCTTTCATTCTGTCTCTACCCCAAGCCCAAAGCAACTCACTGCTGTAGTATTTTGAATTCCTTCCCGTTTTCCTTAATTAAAGCTGAATCAGATACTGCTTGCTCTGAATGTTTCAAGACTTTTTGTGGAGAGGCTAAACAGAAGAAGTTGCTGCTAAGTGACATATTCTGCCTCAGTGGAGGCATTGCTTGCATTCTCTAGTTGCTGATTTTCATGAAAGGTGTAGAAATGCAAAGTAAGGCTGGATTGCTTTGTCCAGTTTGATTGGCATTGACTGTAGGGCAATGTGTTTGTATAAGCCTCATTTCCATAAGAAACCAAGGGAAAAATGCTTTAGGAATAAATTAAGAAAACTTGCTTTGAATGCATATTTTTAGACTTGTTAGTTTTATATATATTTAGACAGGTAAAATTAATGTTAAAATTAAACAACAATTTTGAGTGTTTTGAAGCAGTGTGTTTTACAACACCCCCCAAAATTAAGCTGATAGCTTAGCATGATTAATCATGTAACAACTATTTAATTTCAACCTACAATGAAGAAGTGTGCTCATTTCACTTAAATGTCCTTTTTACCTTCCACTTTATGCCAGTATAACTTGCAGACTATGGCTAGACTTGGTTTTCTGCTTATTGCAGGAGCTAATCTGGTTAAATTCTTTTGGAAATAGGGGAATCTAGCCAAATTATTATAAGCTATTTACATTGGGGGGGGGGGGTTGGTTGGTTTTTGGGATTTTTTTATTGTTGTTGTTATTTTGTGGTTTTTTAAATTTTGTAAAAACATTAATTTTGAGAAATTTCCATCTTTGGGGTGAGGAAAACAATGTTCTGGATACAGTGGACTGTTAACTACCAACTGGAAAAAAACCCTGCTGTTTTTCTTAAATAGTATTTTTGTTGTTATTGGGGCAACAGATGAAATAATAGAACAGGAAAAGTCCTTTTCATAATAGATGAAGCTTTTATGATCAGTGTTATTTTTTTATCATATAATTAGTGAAAGGAAGCCAGTATTTAACAGATGTAAACAGCCTAGGCTTTAGACTGCTGTTTTCTTGAATTTTAGTTTGGTCTTTGTCAAAAACGGATGATTTGTTTTGAAATTTAATAGTGAAGATGCATTTTTTAAATGGCCTTATCTCAGTAGCATTGTTTCAAGTACTTTCCAAAGTACTTTTTGGTTTCAGTTTACATATATAATGTAAATAATAAAATTTCATTAAAAGCACATCAAATTTGGGAAGAGAAGATAATGGAGAAAACAAGTCACATTTATCAAGTGAAATTCAAACTTCGCTCTTCATCACCTGGGGTTTTTTTTATCATTTGCTTCCAGTTTTTTTACATAGGTAGGAAGGCCTATTGTTAAATATAAGCTTTATTTTTTTCAAGTTTTACTGATGCAAAATGACTTTCAGGAGTTGGTGACACTTATGTTTGGATTTCTCTATGAAGTAGTCAGTACCTGTGCAAAATTTATGCTTTCTAAAAAGGGAGTGGGGGGTGAGCAGGGAAAAGCACATGTGGTTATTTAGGAGTGACAGAGTTGAAATTAACATGAAAGAATAACTATACAGATCTTTTTCCTTTATTGCAGGAACTGAAAAATCCTCTTTAAAAGGTGCACTGCTGTGGAAACTGTTACTGCCTATAGAAAAATGGACATGTTGCAGATACTACGGAAAACCACAGAGCGCTTGGAATGTGACTACTGCAGCTTCAGGGGAACTGACTATGAAAACATACAAATTCATATGGGTACTGTTCACCCAGAGTATTGTGATGAAATGGATGCTGCTGGCTTGGGCAAACTTATATTTTATCAAAAAAGTGCAAAACTGTTTCACTGCCATAAATGTTTCTTTACCAGCAAGATGTATTGCAACGTATATTATCACATCAAAGCACAGCATGCAGCACCTGAGAAATGGAATGAAGAGCAGAAAGAGCAACAGGTAGAAGGAGATTCAGATTCATCCAAGAAAAGTGTCACGTTGGAGCCACAGAAACCTGCCCTTTCCCCTGAATCAGGCAAACCTGCCCTTTCTCCTGAACTCCCCAAATCAGAACCTGTTGTTTCCCCCAAGCTTCAGAAATCTTCTGTGTCTCCAGAGCCCCAGAAGTCTGCTCAGGTGACTTCCCCAGAGCCAGAGAAGTCAGTCCAGACTGTGTCCCCAGATCCAGAAAAGTCAGCCCAGGCCACATCTCCCGATCCAGAGAAGTTAGCCTCATCTGTGTCTCCTGACCCACAGAAGCCATCTCCTGCTGTGTCTCCTGACCCACAGAAGCCATCTCCTGTCGTGTCTCCTGACCCACAGAAGCCATCTCCTGCTGTATCCCCCGACCCACAGAAGCCAGCCCCGGCCGTGTCGCCAGAGCCCCGTCGGCACTCCCCAGCAACGTCTCCAGAGCCCCGCCGGCATTCCCCCGCCATGTCACCTGAGCCCCGGCGCCATTCTCCTGCTGTGTCTCCAGAGCCCCGCAGATACTCCCCAGCTGTGTCACCAGAGCCAAAGAAACCTCCTCCGGCAGCGTCCCCTGAGCCACGGAGGTACACCCCAGCCGTGTCTCCTGAGCCACGCAGGCATCCCTCCCAAATGCGTCGGCCCGCTTCTGCTTCTTCTCCTGAGAGCCGGAGGCCGGCTTCTGCGGTTTCACCGGAGTCATGGAGACCTGGTCCAACTGTTTCCCCTGAGCCCTGGAGGGCTTCCCCTCATGAAGTGCAGAAGTCTTCCACAGTTTCTCCCTGGGCTTCAAAGCCTGCCATGTCGGTGTCCGTAGAGTCCCGGAGGTCTGCCCCTGAGTCCCGAAGGCCTGGTTCGGTTGTGTTGCCAGAACCTAGGAGGCTCGTTTCTGATTCGTGTAAGTCTACGTCCTTTTCTGAATCCCAGAAGTCTACTCTTGTTTCTTCTGAGCCCTGGAAACCCATCTCATCTGTTTACCCTGAAGGCTGGAAGCCTGTTCTGTCCCCTGACACATGGAAGCATTCTCCCCCTGTTTCTCCTGAGCTTCGAAAGTCCAGTCACACCGTTTCCTCTGACTCTTGGAAGCCTTCTTTCTTTCCTGAGGTCCGTAAGCCTGGTGTTTCAGTATCTCCTGAATCCTGGAAACTCTCTGAGTCACGGAAATCAATGTATTTTTCTGAAACTCAGAAATCCACCTCTGCTGCTTCGTCTGAGATTCAGAAACGAGCTCATTTCACTGAGCCTCGGAAAAGAGTGTTGTTCCCAGAGACTCGTAAATCTAATCCTACTGCTTCTACTGATGTCCAGAAACGTGCTGTCTTTTCTGAGCCCCAGAATCAGACGTCTACTTCTGCTGTTTCTACTGAAGGTCAAAAACAAGCTCTGTGTCCTGAAGCCCAAAAATCTGCTCTTGTTTCTTCTGAAGTCCAGAAGCATGCCCTGTTTTCTGAAGCCCAAAAACTCACTTCCATTTCCTCTGAAGTTCAGGAGTCTACTTCCTTTCTAGAGTCTCAGAAATCCACATCTCCTGAAGTTCAGAAACATGGTCTCTTTACTGAGTCCCAGAAACCTACTCCTGTTTCTCCCGAGACACTCAAGCAAGCTGTTTTCACAGACTGCCAGAAATCTGCTGTTTCCCCTGATGTTCAAAAGCATGCTGTATTTTCTGAGATGCAGAAGCCTGCTGCTGCTCTATCCTCTGATGTCCAGAGACATGCTGAAACTACTGTACCTTCTGAAATCCAGAAGAACATCCTGTTTTCCGAGCCTCACAAGTCTGCTTCGGGCTTTTTCTCTGAGCCCCAAACACCTAGTGAGTCTGGTGAGAGTGACTTTCTCTCTCACAGTTTAGATGATCAGAAACCACTGGATGATTTATTCTCACAGGATGAACAGTCAATATTAGCCAAAGAATCACCTGAACACATGTTATATTCATGCCCAAAAAAGAAGCCCAAGAAGGAAAACCAGGAGAACTCAGATTCTGAACTAAATAGCAGTGAGTGTGGAAAACCAGTGGTGGACTCAATGGAGATAAAGGAACAAGAATCCAACAGTGACCAAGAGCAGTATGATATGGAGTCATCTGATTACAGCAAAGAGAGCAAAATGGATGCAACTACTCCTACGCAGCCACAGTGTGTGCTTCAGTTTACTGAAGAGAAAGAGGCTTTCATCTCTGAGGAAGAAATAGCAAAATACATGAAGCGTGGCAAGGGAAAGTATTACTGCAAAATTTGTTGCTGTCGTGCAATGAAAAAAGGTGCTGTCTTGCACCATTTAGTTAACAAGCATAATGTTCAAAGCCCGTACAAATGTAAAATATGTGGCAAAGCTTTTCTCTTGGAGTCTCTTCTTAAAAATCATGTTGCTGCTCATGGTCAAAGTCTGTTGAAGTGTCCCCGTTGTAATTTTGAATCAAATTTTCCCCGAGGCTTTAAGAAACATTTAACCCATTGCCAAAGCCGTCATAGTGATGATACACCTAAAAAACACTTGGACAGCCTTGAACCACTTGAAGAACAAATTTAATCTGTTTTTTTTTTTTCCCTTGTGCTAGAAAAGCTGAATTTACGAAGTGTTCAAAAGTGTTACTGTATGTTAACCGAGTAGTTTAGCTGATCTGACAAGTCAGAAGATGCATGGTTTATTGTACTATGTTTAACTTGTCTTATAGCTGTATTACTGAAAAGATTTACTTTTAAAAGTAATTTTAAATGCGTGTTCATGTCTTTGTATTACCCATCAGTAGAGTCATATTTTATTTTTCAGATGTACTATGTTTTTGAAACCAAAATGGATACAAATTAGTTTTGTAAAGATTTGTAAAACATATAGGCAATTAAGGACTGGAGTGGCAAGCAATCTGTATTTTCCTGTGAAGACAACTTCTTTTTTCACATTTGTTAAATGTTGTATTTTTAAAAATGTTTTTATCAAGTTCTCAAATCAAAAATTCTCACTAAATTGAATGTGAATGAGCAAGAATATGAGGAACTACCAATATTCCTGGAATAATTCTGCCCTGAGGTAATTGAGTGTATAGACATTTGCTGGAAATTTATTGCACTCAGTTCTCTGACTTGTCTCAGATTTAGAAGCATCAAGGTACTTATTTTGTGATTCTGTATTTTGGCCATGTTTTAATCATTTACTAATATACATTAAATTGATAGATTAACGTCAGACTATGTATAGCTCAACACTTTCTCTTGATGATCCAGATGTTTGTAATGTCAGACAACCCCTAAATTTCCTGTATTTGGTGAAATGTTATGCTTTAATGTTTTAACAATAAAAAGAAACCCAACCTGGTGTTGGCCATAATTTTTTTTGTTCAAGTCAAGAAGAAAACCTTTGTATTCAGCGTAGTATCTTTTAAGTATCTTTGGCAACAAGAGATGCAAAATTACCTAGGAGGTCTGCTTTGGAAGCTTCAACTTGGCAGTCATCAGCCTCAGTCATCACTCAGCAAGGTTAGTCTAAATTTCCCATCTCTTTCAGAAGAACGTGTCAGATGTAAATGAAAAAAAAGGAAAACAAGAATTTATGCACTGTTATTTAGGATGCTGGCTTTGGTGTGATCTGTATATTATTTGTTAAAAACACATAAGTACTTTATAATTCAGAAGGAATGTAGATTTTATGTGGAGGCAGCAGAAGGAAGAAGGAGTTCCTCTCCAGCTGAATTATGCTTAGACAAGCTGTTTTAAGTATGTGTTTAGGATATGAAGGTGTTAGTGTTAAATTAATAATAAAAAAGTCTCCCAAGTGTAATCTCCAACCAAAGAGCTTCAGATTGGTTTGATTGAAGCTTGTATTTTTATCTTTGTTGTCTTTCATGAGGATTTCTGTAAGGAAGGGCAAAGATATTTAAAGCTCTAACCTCAGGTGACTTCTTAGTGCTGTTTATTAAGTGAAAGAGTTGCCTTCCTGCTATGTCTGTATGAATAATTCAAATGCATTGTGTGACTTACTATGTATGTTCTGTGGCTCCAGTTCAGTGTAGAAAGAGTGGCATTAACTAAAAGCCAGTAAAAGTGACTCATTCAGGACAGCACAGAATCATACAGTCATTCTTTACTTCCCAAGTGTTAGAAAGTATTATTTCTTGCAATGGCAAATATTTAATAGTGAAAGTCTGCATAGTGAAATGATTTCCTGACTTTGCAGCATGTCTTCATTACGCTTGGGTGTAATAATCACCATATTCAACTTTCAGGTTCTCTAACTTTTTAAAGGCTTTTTTACATTCATAGATAATATATTTGACTGAGAAAGTGCTTTTATATGAACTTCTAGGCAGTTCTTTTTTATCATCCCTATCCTTGGAGAGGAACCTCTTCTGTGTACTCTTGGAAGGACACTGGTTCACTGGTTTCAATCCTTTTTTGTGAAGAATGCTCAAGGGAAAGTACAAAAGGAAAACAATAAAGAAGCATCAGAGGATGTTGTTGCAGAAGGATGTTAGCTGTGGCCATATGTGCAATACAAACTTCATCTTTTTATGGCAAAAAGTGGTTGATTGTATGGAATGCTCAGTCATGTTTTTAAAGTGCATTTTTACCAGCTTTCATTCAATCAAACTAAAAGTAGTCTGCAGAGAACTGAAGGTGTTTGACAGAAAAGGCCCTTTTTGTCTCAGGTTACAACTTCATTTCATTTGATATTTGGGGAGAGATTCTTGCAAGAATTACTAGTTTCAGTAATATATCTTCAGCATAGCTAAGAGTGTCTAAGTAGCTGTCTTGGTATATCAGTATGTTGCTTATCTCTAGATCAGAGAAATATGGAATGTAACCATTAGAATATGAACACATATAACATTATTGGTACTGTTTGGTCTTACATTAATGAGCAAATTGTGTAAAAACACCCCTGAACACCATTTAGGATTCAGTGTTTTAAAATAAGAATTCTGTGCTTCACCATTGTCTATTCTGAGAAAGATTCTATCAAAGATGTATTAAATTTTAGTATTAAAATTTAGTAGAAGTCAAAGGAATTCTTGCTAATTTGTATTGTCTAGCATACTTGACCAGGTATTTTTTCTGAGCTGTACAATCAAAAGATTAGGCTTGCTTTCTTACTTTCTTTCTTTGGGCAGAAGGGGCAGCGAGTTCATATGGGCTTATGGTAACTCTAAACCTGCACCCTCAATCACAGACATGCTGGCTGAGTTGCTTATTGATGATGTCTCAACAACTCAGCTCCATTATTTCCTCACATCTGCCTCTTATCTGTCAGTTGTCTGCTGGGTTGTTTTTTGGTTTATTTTTGACTGCCTCTGTATCTTTTTTTTCTCTGTCTTACTGAATGCTCAGGCAAGATTTTTCTTATACCTTGTGAAAGTGTGCCCAAGCCACAAGTGCTTACCCCCAGCAAAATGGGTAAACTGTGTGTGCTTAGTGGTTCATTAGCTGAGCTAAGCCTTGGTGTTGTAGTTGAGACTTGCTGTTCTGTTGAAGCTGCAGGGTAGCCCTCATTGTACCTAGACACTCCATGACTGCAGCAGAGGTTTGTGCAGGTATCAAAACCAGATGTTCTGATTCCCTGTCTCAAATGCTTATACTAATATTGACTCATCAAAGTGTACAACCTTCTGAAACCCAAAACCTCAAACTCCAAAGTTTAAGTGAAACTCAGTGGAAAAGCAGGCTTTTATTCCCAAGGGCTTCCTCCAGTGCTGCAAGAGCAAAAATTAAAAACAGTTGTTCTGCTCTTTGTACATTCAGTGTTTAATTTTATTCCTTATTCTTCCTCCACGCACAGCCTTAAAACTTGAAACATATTGAGGAAAAACAACTTTTAAATACCTCCCAAACCTTCTGCATTTTAAAAGTAAAAATAAAAATAAATTCTTTAAAGCCAATGGGAAAATAAAATGCTTGCATTAAGAAAAAGGTGCCTAACATAGGTATGTGTCATCCTGACTTTGTAGAAGACTGAAAGTTTTATCAACCACAGCATCCATGCTATGTACTTCTAGTTAGCAGTAGTCAGATGTTCACAGACACAAGAAGGTGAAGTTTCTGGCAGCTTCTCACAGAAGATTCCCCCCTTCCCATAGCCCCCCACTACCCAAGCCTGGCCACACAAAGCCAATACTTACTGCTGCATTAGTGGAAAAAAACTGAGCAAAGCAGGACTGTAACCAAGTGGGGTGGATGGATTGGTGGCTGCAGGCACACAGAAATCTGATGTATCCAGTGCACCTTGGTCTTTTCTTCTCCAGCAAGGCCTCCCCTGCCTTTCTGTTTAGTCAAAGGGTGGAAGGAGTGGAAGAACTACCATCAGAGAGGGTTGAGTCAGCAGTGACTTGAGAGAACTCTGCTCATGCACGTCTGTGGCACCCTAGGGATGGTGTCCAGAGTGCTGTGAGAATTGGCTGACACCCATGGCTATTGTACCTCATCTTTAATGGAGTTTTGGGAAAAGTTTCCTGTCATTGGAGAAGAACAAAGGCTTCACCCATGTTCAAAAAAGTACAGAAAGATGGTCCAGATTTCCCTGCTGGCAAATACTTAATTTCTGAAGTTCTGATAAAAAATGATGAAAACATATTAGAGGTGAATACTTTGGTTATTCTAGCAATGGCATTCTATAAATGTTAATATTTATGCTGATTCTAAGGACGGAATCTTTCTGAAAATTAAAGGAAAGGAGGGGGATGTGCATTGAAGCTTAGAAAGAAGCTTAAAGCTACTTCTGTTTTCCCTCATTCTGCAGTTTCCAAATATGTAACATTATAAGGACTCATCCGTGCAGTTGCTACAGACCTGAATTGGCTCAGTGATACCCCGTGCTGTTTTATTTTGGAGGAGAGCTGGTAATGACCAAATGAAGAATTTGGACAAAATCGGCTCTGCAGTTGAGATGATGTCTCAGCATGTCATTAACACATATTGGTAGAGCAGCCTCACAGATGGGACAGAAGCTTTTTACATGAGGACCATATGTGCACTAAAGAGATAATGTAATGACCTTTCTGTTGTGGCTTTGGCTTTAGGGGTTACTGCTCTCAGCTGCCTGACTCCGTTTGTCTGTGCTCTGTTCCTTAGCCCCTTTTGATTGAACTGTTCACTTGTGTGATTTCTAAAGCAGAAATTAGTCTCTTAAAATGTCTTGACTATAATTTTTTTTTTTTTTCAAAACCACCATGATTTCTAACTGACTACATTTATGGTTAAATGAAACATCCCACTATGGTGCAAATGGGGTGTTAACATCCAAAAGGGGCAAAAGAAGTCACGTGGGGGTGAATGGTAGGTAGTAATTATATATTTCTTAGGAAAAGAGCATGCACATACTAGGGAAAATTTCTTCACCAAAAGAAGTGTCAAGCCAGACAGGCTAGAGTAGGCAGCTCAGGGAGTCACCATCCTGGAGGTGTTGGAAAGACATGTAGATGTGGCACTTGGGGATATGCTTTAGTGCTGGAGCCTGCAGGGCTACATTAACAGTTGGACTTGATGAACTAAGAGACCTTTCCAATCTAAAGAGTTCTATGATTCTGTGATTCTACATGTAGCCTCTGTGGACCAAAACATTCCTGTTTGAATGAGTCCTTCACTACATGTCACTTCAGGTTCCTTCCAAGGCCCTGCCACTCTGGGACCTGTATCAGCTGAGCCATGAACCTCCCTGTTAAATGAAATGCTTTCAACCTTACTGTGAGGCAAATCAATGTGTATTAGAATGTTAAATCGTTTTCTTAAAATATTTTGCTGCATAAATCAATTATTTATGTGGGAATTATACCAAATGAACTGTTAAATATTGTTTTCCTCTAGTTTCCAGATTCTGTTCTGCTCTGTACCCAACCTGCTGTTCATTAAGACTCTTCCTCTGTACTCTGAAACAAGTGTCTTTGTTTCAAAGTCAGCATTAAAAATAAGTGACAGTATGGAATATTAATTTTGCCTAAAAAAATAATTGCTGTGGCTAAAGGCAGGTTGGAGTTGACACAAACAAACCCTTAATCAAACGAAATGTTCCTGATATGCAAATGAGAGAAATACACATTGGGCAGAAAGGGGTGTGTGTGCAAACACAGCATGGCTTTTACTAGTATCACTTGTTCACATGTAAGAGATTGTTTTGTTACAGCTTTCTCTCATATCTAACTGCCCAAAGATTTCACAACTAAAATAATTTTCAGAGCTGGAAACCAAACAGACTTTACTCCCTTTGGACTGTGCTGATCTCCAGGGTGACTTTAGGAGTGCAAAGTGTCAGAAAATATTAGTGTGGAAATTCTCATTGATGTGTTACAAGACTTGATGTACATTTTAATCTACACAGGAGAAATTATG